GTTACAGGCTTTCTGGAATGCTCCCTAAGGTAGGTAAGCAGAGACCTACTCTTCAAGGTGAGGTAGTCACATCATCAGGTTATTTTTTTCCTGAGTGCCCAGAGGCCACCTGACACTCTGGGAACATCCTGGCCATGGCCTAGATATTCACTGGCGGGAGGAACTTCCATTGGCCTTCTCAAAGCTAAGCTCTGAATTAATGTTATGAGGATAGGACTTGGGGTAGTGGTTGGGGAGGGAGAGGGGGAGGGGAAAGTAAATGTTTTTTCTCAAGACAACTGCCTTCTGTCTGCCTTCCTTTAGGATAATGCTCTTTCTGATTTTGTTGTTGTTGTTTTATTACTATTTTGGCATCTTTCCCATCCCCTGTGATTGAGTGTACATATTTGTCTAGCCTTGTTCTTTGCCTACATATTTATTTTAAGAGAATGTTCACTCTGAAGTTTCTAGAACAGTCTGGCATACATACTCAGTCCAAAACAGTCCTGATCCTTGTCCCTAGCAATGTTCAGCACAGTTCCTAATTTCAATCTCATCATTACTTTGATTTCTTAAACCACAGTTGTCAGATTTCTATTTTCTTCATATTCGTAGCCTCCAGGTCTCCACAATGCCTGATGCAAATTGTGTGTTTGCTGGGTCAAAGGGGCTATGGTGAGATTTGCCTGGGTGTTGTAGTACCTACCAGCAGTTTCCAAGGATGGTCCAACAGAATTTAACTTACTGCCAGAGATTCAACGTTCTGATGTTGGCTTTCAGCTCTTTCAAAATATAGCACCCTACTCATCTGACCAATATTTTAAATATTCTTTTGTACATTTATACTACGAAGGTTCATATCGATACCTTTATGAAGGCCCATTCTTAAATGAGCAACATTCATATGTGGACCCTTGGAAGTACGATCTAAGCTCAGCTAAACCCATTTTCTGTCCTTCCATTTGGTTGGTTCAGGCATCAAGTATTTATTTTTGGTTTGATGACTTTTATTTGTCTGTAAAATGTGCCAATGGATTGTTAAGTAGGCATTTGGATTCAAAAAAGTGCAGGAGAAGCCTGGGCTGGAGAAAAAAATCTAGGCCATTAGCTTAGAGCAAGTTTTTAAAGCCATAGGAAAGGAATATTTCACAGGGCAAGAGAGGAGAGTGGGAAGCAGCGCCCGGGTGCATTTCTGATACTGATAGTCTGGTAAACAAAATGCAAATACGAACAGTAATAGCAGCCATGTTTAGAAAAGAAAACAAAAATCAAAATAAAACTTAGCAACCCACAATAGCAGGAACTAGTGAATCGGAAATCCTAGCAACATCTGTAAACTATCTATGCAAGAAGAAAGAGTGAGGTATGGCCAACTTGAAATAGATACAAGGATAGTATTTTTATGTGACATGTAATTAGTTTTTGGAACTCACTACCACAGAATATTTTGGGGTAACTAGCAGAGAAAGTCTAAAAAAAGAATTCTTTTAGACAGTTGTAAGGGATAAGAATAGTGTTAAAGCACATTAGGTAAGAAGCTATGTGGTACCCACTCCCTCTCACATTTACCTGGCTCTCTACATCAGTGTTCCAAAGGCCAGAAGAGTCTACAGACACACTGTAATGATTTCTCGCAACCATAAAGTAACATAACCTCCCAAGTGCTTGGATAGATTGTTTTCCACCCCAGTTTCTTAGAAGCACCGGAATCAGCCAGACCATTAATGGGTAGATAATGCAGGAGGAAATGAAATGTCCTTTGTAAAGCCCTTTTTAAAAAGTGATGTGCTCCTGATGGCCTTGATTTATTACTTTATTATTTTTTAAATGCACCTCTCTAAAATTATAGATTAAATACTGTGAAACATTGTTTAATTTCCTTGAAGCTTCTATACAAATAAAAAGAATAGCTTTAGGATATTCACTTCCATTTAGTCTGTACCTTGGAAGCATTCTCTGTAAAAGCCTCTTAAATAATCAACTATAAAATAGGAAAGTACATGTCAAGATGGATTTAGATTTAAAATAAGACAGTAATTCATCTAAACTTTGTGACTGCCTTTGGTAAATTCAATTTTCTACCCTGGTTTTTGATCCAAAAACCTCAATTCCCTTCCCATGTAATGTTACTTTTTTGTTAAAAAACAACAAAAAAACCCTATTATATTCCTAGAAAATATGGATATCAGGACCCTATTCCTTAAAAAATTTCCCCCACAGTCAATTTGCACCAACAAAAAAAAAATGTCATTTC